CCTCATGGATGCCTGGCTGGTGCCCACCACCTGCATGGCTTCCTCCCGTGGTCCCTCCCTTGTGGGTGCCTTGTAGGCTCCCGGCTGGTGCCCAACACCACAGGCCTGCCTGGCTTCCTCCCGTGGTCCCTCTCTCATGGGCTCCTGGCTGATACTGGGCTCCTGTGATCCCTCCCTTACGGGTGCCTCGTGGGCTCCCGGCTGGTGCCCACCACAAGCCTGCCTGACTTCCTCCTGTGGTCTCTCCCTTGTGGGCTCCTGCCTGGTCCTGGGGTCCCGTGGTCCCTCCCTTGTGGGTACCTTGTGGGCTTCCAGCTGGTGCCCACCACCCCAAGCCTGCCTGGCTTCCTTCTGGGGGCTAGCCTCTGACCCAGGGTCCATCCTGCCCTTGGCTCTGCCCCTGGCTTTGTTCTGAGAGAATCACAGCAGCAAGAGCAGTCTCCCCATTCTCAGGGGCTCCGAGGCTTGCAAAGCCCTCTGTGCACACAGTCAGCCCACCTCACAGTAGGTGGTGACGTTAGCCTTAACAGCTGAGGAAGCGGAGGCCCAGAGCAGGGGCATGATTCCCCCGAGGGCCCCAGCCACATCTTTCACCTCCCCAGCCAGTGTTTTGGGGCACACTTCAGCTCCCGAGGCTGAGAGCTGGAAGGGAGCCTGGCCAGGCAGTCCAAACCCTTGCCCCCCCATTGTGCAGATGAGGAAACTGAGGACCCTGGTCATGGGATCATAGCTTCAGAGAGGGCAGGGACTTTGGTACTCTTCTGGTCCAACCTCATTTCACAGATGAGGAAATGAGGCCCCCAGAGCTTAGCCTTGGTCCTGAGTGTGCCCCCCCACACCCACCCCCTTCCCACTCCAGGCTCCAAAGAGGCCACAAGGCTGTTGGGGTTACATCCCTGCGCTTGCCTCTGGCCTGGTGCCCGGCTGGTCTGTTCTGGGTGGGTTCTGCCCTTCACCCATGCATTTAGCAGCTTGCACGTGACTCACAGCTGCCCTCCAGCGGTCATTTGGTTTTAAAAAAGGAATGATTTTCAATGAACACAGATCTATTTCCTCTCCTTCCCACCTCTCCCTACCCTGAAAATAAGAGAAAAACAAAGCCCTCATAACCAATATCCACAGTCAAACAAAATAAACGTCCACGTTGGCCATCTCCAAATGCGTCTCGGTCTGCCCCCTGGGTCCACCGTCTTTCTATCAGGAGGGGGAGGCACGCTGCCTCTTTGCCCTGGGAGGGTGGTTCTTGGCCATTGCGTTCGCAGTCTGTCCAGCATCGTTGCTATAGCGAACATCGTCCTTCGGTCCTGTTCACCTCCCTCTGTGATACCTCGTCCAAGACACCCCAGACTTCTCTGAAACACCAGTCTTCCTTTCGTCCCAGCCCTGCTCAGTCCACCCCCCCGCCATCACGGCCATCCCAGGTGGCCCTCTCGGTGTCAGGGAAGGGGCTGCCCAGAGAGAAGCCGTGTAATCTTGGTTCTGGAGTCACCCCTGTGACCTTCCCATCTTGAAACTCCATAGCTCTTCACATGACCAGGTTTGCAGCCCCATATTTGGAGACCCTCACGCTCCCCCTCTGTGAAACAAGAGGGTTGACTTTGATTTCTAAGCCTCCTTCCAGGTTCCGTTTTCTAAGGTCCGTCCCGGCTTCGACATTCTCATCCATCATGAGAGTGGGTATGTAGGGAGATGAAAGCAGGCCCCACTTTGCACCCTGAGTCATTAGCATGTGGGTACTCATCCTCCCAAGACGTGGCCCAGGCTGGAAACGTCCCTCCCGTGACGGAGGTCCTCCGGTATTATCAAATTGGTCAGAGTGAATAGTTCTATAGATTACTCTAGTGTCCTGGCTAACTTATATTGAGCATTTTTCACATCAATATTCCTTAGTGGGATTGATCTCTGCAATTATCTTCCTGTGCTCTACCCTTCCAGGGATGAGTACCAGCACCAAATTGTCTCAAAAATGGAGTTCAACGAATAGCATTTTTTCTTTTTTTTCCTTTTTCTTTCTTTCTTTCTTTCTTTTTTTTGATAAGGCAGTTGGGGTTAAATGGCTCGCCTAGAGTCACACAGCTAGTTAAGTGTTACGTGTCTGAGGCTGGATCTGAAGGCATTTTTTCTTTTTGAGACTGGTTTATACCGTATTAGGGCTAATTGGCCTTTCAAGGTTCGACAGAGACTCACTTGTAATCCACCTGGTCTTGGACCTCAAGGCTGAAGGAGGTATTTTCATCATCCGGTCAGCCACACTCTTCCATTTTGTGGTTGAGTTTAGTCCATTCAAGGTCACAATTGTTAAGCTGTTTTTCCCTTCCTCACGTTCTGTTACATTCCTTTTTTAAAATGTAGGACTGTGGAGGCAGCTAGATGGCGCGGTGGATAGAGTACCACCCCTGGATTCAGGAAGATCTGAGTTCAAATCTGGCCTCAGACACTTGACACTTACTAGCTGTGTGACCCTGGGCAAGTCACTTCACCCCATTCTCTCATCAAAAAAAAAAATTAAAAAATAAAAAGCAGCACCGCAGGTGTTTTTGCTTGAACTAAATGGCTCCTATTCTTCACCTTCAAACAACTGCCCTCTCCCCTACACTCCCCCCACCTCCACTTAGCCCAAGTCCTGATTCTTTGATGCTACTTTTCATGGAGTGAGAGGTCACAGACTCAGAGCAGGACCCCTCAAACTCGACATGCCCCAAACAGCATCCTCCACCTCTTGTGACCTTGGCCTCACTGATGCTACCCCTGCATCATCTTCCCCCCAAAATCCACTCCCCCTCTTCCTGACTTCCCCACATTGGTGGAAGGCACCATTGTCATTCCAGTCATGGAGGTCAACAACTTTGGTGGCATCCGTGGCCCCCCACAGCCACTCACCTGTCCGGTCTCCTGATTCTGCTCCCACAACATCCCACAGCCATCACCTTCTCTCCACTCCTAAAGCCAGGTCCCCACGGCCTCCTGCCTGGACTATTGCAAAGTCTCCCATCGGTCTCCCTGCCTCTGGCGTCTTCCCCCACCAATCTAGGCTCCATACAAGCCTCCCAAAGTTTCTTACACGTTTATACGTAACTATTTTATTCATGACTGCCCTTTACACACTCTACATTCCAGCCTTCTGGTCTTATTGTAGTTCCTTACCCAGTGGTCCATTTCCCACCTCTGGGCCTTTGTCCTGGTTGTGTCCCGGGCCTCAAACGCCCTCCCTCCTGACCATCGCTTCTTAGAACCCTCTTTTCCTTCAAAGCCCCATTCAAACATTGCCTCCCATATGCAGCCTTCCTGGATCCCCGAGTGGCTAGCCGCTCCCCCAGCTTTATGAAATGAGCTCATATTGACTGAGCCTGCATTTCCCCCTTACTTAGCTGCGAAGGTGTTGTTTCCCCCGAGAGAATGTAAGCTCCGAGGACAGGTCTGTCTCCGAGTTGTTCTTTGTATCCCCAGACCCTAGTGTGGCCCCTGGCAAACAGCAGGTGCTTAATCCTTGCTCCAGTCAGTGGGCAGGACCTCCACGCCCCTGGGAGAGGAGAGGTGGCTGCAGACGCATCATCTAGTGGAGAGGAGCAAAGGACCCAAGGGAAATGTGCCTCCTGTGACCTTCTCCCTTGGGAGGCTGGATCCCAGAAGTCACTTCCCAGGCAGCTGCAGGAAAGACGTGCCAAGCCTTTGCAGAGTTCTAATCAGGACAGCATTTAGTGATGAATCAAAGACAGAGGCAGCTTTCCAGTTATTGAATGGATTTTTACTGATTGACACCCGCACACCTAAGGGTTGGGGTTTGGGAGCCACAGGGCCATGGCCCAGCGGCCACCCCATGACCTTCACCCACCCTCCCACCAATGAGGAAAAGTCATGGCTTGGTTAAATTTACCCTGAAATCATGTGTGAGAAGCCAGGGGATCTCATGCAGTTTCCAAGGGAAAAAGGGACCACCGTGGGTTGGCAATGATGACCAGATAATGGTCGCCAACCGTGCGCATGGTCGGTCCCTGCGGGTCGTGGCAGGCTTTCTATGGGAGAGGCCACGGCCCCACGGGTGAAGCTGGTGGCCTTGCCCCCTCTGAACGTGGTTCTGCACGCAGGGCCGCCGCTGGAGTAAGAGGGGTGCTCTGCTCACTGAGCTCTGAGAAGCTGGTGCAGTCTGAACAGCCCCATTTTACAGATGGGTAAACTGAGGCTCAGAGAAGAGATGCCCACAGGGATTTTCTCCCAGTGTCATGGCCTGTGCCCACATGGCCCCCAGAGGGCTGAAATCGTAGACCTTGAGAGCTAACCTGACTGTTCAGACGCAAGCACCCACGAGGTCGGCTGGAAGTCATGTGCTCTTCTGGCTTCCGTGGGGGGCCGACAAAGCGCCGAGCTAACCCCGCAAGGAGGTGGTGGCAGGAGGGCGCTGAGAAGGAAACTGAGGCTCAGAGAAGGGAGGGACATGCCCAAGGTTAAGCTCACTATTTTTTTCCTGGAAAAGTTGCCGATTAAAGAAAAAGCCTCAGCCAGAGAGGTGAGACGGTCCCTGCACTGGCCGGGCCGCCCTTGTGATGGAGGAGAAGCCTGACTGCCTTGGGGCCAGGCGAGGAGGGCCCTGCGCCCCGTCTTCTCGTCGGTGACTCTGGCCGCCACCCTTACGGCCCCACCTTGAAGGCTTGGGGGCTAGGTCTCCCAGGCTGCTGCAGACCCTCCTGCGGCCCAGATGACCACCTCCTGGGCAGGTCGTGAGAGCCGGGGTCAGGGGGAGCAGCACACGTGACTCCTTTGCCACGTCTGATTGAGTGTTGTTATAAAACGACATTTCCAGTCCCTTGACACCAAGCCAGGGGAACAGGAGGTGCCCAGAGCAACACATGGGGGGCAGAGGGGGCCAGCGTGGCGCTGGGTCAGGAGAGGAAAGGTGAGGGCCTCAGCCTGGGTCCTACACTAGCCAACTGGGAGCACGAGTGAGGCCCTTCCTTGCTCCCTGCCTCAGTTTCCTTCTCGACAACAGACGGGGGCTGGAGGCTTAGTTATCAGGGCTGATAATTCACAGAGGGATGACCTGCTCTCAAACACCTGAGGCATGAGTGTCCCTTCTTAGATGGAAGCTTGGTGGTGTGGGGGGCCTGGGGGATGGGCAGCGCAGCTTCTCGTGGGTGTGTAGAGCAGGGTTTGCTTTTCTTGGGGCTGGGGGCTGGTGTTTGGCTTCTGGTCCAGGTGATGCTGGGCATCAGGCTTCCCAACGGACAGTTATGAGACGGAGGCTCCCTCGGGGGGTGGGAGGAGATGGCCCCTCACCCCAGGCAAGGCTCTAGGCCATGAGATGCAGGGCCGATGCCTTCCGGATGAGGCGCTGGGTCAGAGGGGAGCCGGGCTTCAGGGCATCCCGTTCCAGGAGGAGGCTCCTAGGAGGGGGAAACAGCAGCAGCATCATTCACAGCTCTGTCCCAGAGATCCCCCTGCCAGGCTCTTTGTCTTGCCGCTTCCCATGGAGGGAGGTACAAGACACAGCGGCCTGCATGGGGTGACGTTTTCAGCTGAAGGACTCGTCGGATCCCCAGAACTTCAGGGGGCCCATCCCAGGGGGGCATGCCTCTTCTGTGTCCACACCTCTGCCCCGACTAGACTGTGAGCTCTGGCAGGGCAGTCACCTAGCATCCCTCTCTGCCCCCATCCAAGAACAGAGGGTACTGCATACAACTGGTGCTTAATAATGGCCTATTGTGCCAGGGAATGAAAAGAGACCTTCCAGCGCGTGCCCCTCCCCATGCCTGCTGGCTGGATGACTCCATCCTGTCCTCTACCCAGGCGGAGGTCCCTACTATCTTTTCTAGGGCCTCCTCCCCGTCCCTAGTGCCTGCATGCAGACTGTGTCACCTGCCTGCAATGCCCAACTCCCTTTCTGATACTTGTCTAAATCCTTCCCATTCAGAGGTCCTGGGTTCAAATCCTGCTTCTCCTACTTCCTATCTCTGTGACCTTGGGCAAATCACCCCCCTCCCCTGCCCCCTGGGCCTTAGTGCCCTGAATCAGGCGACCTCTGAGGTCCTGGGCAGTGGGAAGGAAAGACCTGGGACCAAGGCCTGGTTTTACCAGCTCATCATCATGACACCTTGGCCACCCACTGTCCCCTCTAGTCCAGAGCTGCCTCTCTCTCTCAGTGCCCTCTAGTCCACCATGCTGCCCCTGCCCTCAGTCCCATCGGTCCGCAGACTGAAACATGGCCTCACAAGGATCATAGTCACCACCTGACTCAGTCCATTGGCATGCCTCCTACTGATTAAGCTGCACACAGGGTCCAAACATGCTGGTCTGGAGGCCCAGAATGTGCTTGCAATACTCAGCTAGTATCGGAACAGATTGGAATTGGTTCCAGTTGGTGCTGAAAATTTGACCCCTGAAGGGTCTGGACAAACCAGGGACAGAATATTCCATTACATCGTTGACACCAGCAACCTCTTTGGGAAATTCCACGATCCCAGGTATGGGTGGATTCTATCACTCAGTCCTCAGTCTGTCCAAAGCCTCCAAGGCTGGGTAGGGATTTTCTTCGCACAGAATGCTTCTGGCAGAATGACTGGTATACGGTGGTCCCTTGGGCTCCACTGTCCAGGACAGCCCTGCAATCCACAGTCCCAATTTTTACGGACACTTCTGTTTGGGGTCCTCTGAGGCCAGGTGGGAAAAAGCCATTTGGAATTGCCGATGAGGTCACAGTCAATCCTTGTTGGGCTAAGGTAACCTCCTTCCCTGGCCCCACTTTCTTGCCCCAAGCTGGAGCTGGAGCCCTCAGCCTCTGCAGTATCAAAGGGCCCTTCTCTGCTCGAGGGCATTTACCTGTGGGTGGCATTCCCTCCACAGGCTGAATAGGAACCAAGGTTGTCAGGCCGGTCTTTTCCGGGTGACAAGTGTGCAGGCCCCTCCGTTGTGGCCTCCATTCCCTTGGACCAGGTTCAGTTATCCCCTTCAGAAATTTCCTTTTTACCTTCTCCTGTGAATTTGGCCTTTCTCCACCTTGGATCTCTGGTCCAACTTGTGGCATGGGCCCCCAAACCATCTGCCCCCTGGGCTTCCCAGCGGGAACCCTTCTGGGCATCCCCAGGCCTACTTCCCAGGTCACTGCTGGGCTCAACGTCCCAGCTACCCAGCTGAGCTCTAAGACATTTACCGCACTGGAGGTCTGCACGCCCTCCCTCTGACCATCGCAGGCCTCGTTGCCCCTGATCTCGCTAACTCGGCACCCACAGGGTCACGTGGCTTCACCCCTCTTGCTGTTACTTCTGGACATAACACAAATGTGGAATATGCTTGCTTGGGGTCTCCCCAGCCCCAAAGTCTTTGTCCAGTTTTCACAAGCACTTATGTCACAACCTATCCGGCTTCCTGGCCATCGGGCCTCCCACGAGCACAGAAGCTCTCCTCTGGGGGAATATGAGATCTCCACCCACCGTTCCTTCTTCACTGGATCAGACACTGGCCCGCCACAAGGTGATGCCAACACTGGTTTCGTCCAGGCTTCCAGGGTTGTTCCCTTGGGGGTGGAGAACGGATCACCACCTAAGAGAATTCTGAACCGGGGCCAGTGCTATTTCTTCTGTTTGCCGTCAGGTGGAGCTTTGCAGCTCCATTCACCAGGTCTCTCCCCCGTTCACATTTAGAAGAGCTCTGGGTCTGCTCCAACTGTGAGGTTTCCTGGAATGGTCATCCAGGACTGATCAGCCGGCAGGATGAGGTCCCCGGAGGCCACACTCACCCTGGTCACAGGAGAGAGCCCACCGTGGCCCTTGATACACAACAAGAGGCCGAGCCTTTGCCCGAAGGGTGCCAGCCTCACTGGCGTGCCTGTGATCAGCTGGAAATGGCTCTTGGGAGCAGGGGGACCCACATGCATCTTCAAGCTCGGCCTTCCATTGCCATCCTGTAGATCCTTGGGCGTCATTTTATCAAAGGCCTCTCCACCTCACCCGTCAGGGGAGGGGGGTTCCAAACTAATGTCCAGGTACTGGCCCCTATCAGGATTTTTCCTGGTCACTCATCATGACTGACAGTTCACAGAGCACATCAATTGGTGGCTTAGCCCATACCCTTCCCGGGTGCGCTGCCCGGCTCCTTGTGATGGGGCAGCAGAGTCAGTCAGTATAAATAAGCATTTGTTAAGCACCTACTATGTGCCAGCATGAGCTAAGTGCTGAAGATACAGAGAAAGGCAAAGCACAGTTTCTGCCCTCAAGGAGCTTGCGTGCCTGGGGAGGCACAGGGCAAACAGCCTGGTACCAACGAGCCTCAGAAGGGGTGTGCAGACCACGGATTGCTGGAGGCATTAAGGTCCTGGAGGACTGGGCAAGGATTTCTGTAGGATGGGGGTGCTGTGGGCAGAGATGGGGAGGGACTGCAGGCCAGGTATTGGGGACAGCCAGTGCAAACGCCTAGAGGCCAGAGATGGAGGGTCTTGTTCAAGGAATCGCCAGGAAGCCAATGGCCCTGGACCCCAGACTGTGTGGGGAGGAGTAAACTATGCTGGCCTTGGAAGGCCAAGGCTCTACCTAAAAGAATTGGGGGAATTCCATCCAGAAGGGGAAGGTGTAGGCAAGGGAGGCTTTGGGCCGCAGAAGGAGTAAGCCAAGCAAAGCCCCTGGAGCAGTCATCCAGTCTGTGAAGAGCTGGGGGTGTGGAGAGAGGGGAGGGGGGAAGAGGAGGGGAAGGAAAGAGAGGGGAGGGGGGGGGAAGGGGAAGGGGGGGAGGGAAGTGGGGGGGGGGGGAGAGGGGGGGGGGGGGGGGAGGGAGAGGGAGACAAAGAGAGCATGCATATGGGACAGAGCTAGAGGGACCCAGTGGCCACAGCAGGTAAGGGGTCTAACAGGCAATAGGGAGCCAGCGAATATTCTGGAGCACCTGATGGAAAGTGGTCTGTTAGGCTGGACTAAAGGGGAGAGAGACTAGATGTTGAGACTAATTAGGTGGCTATAGCAGCCATCCCAGGGTGGTCTACGGGGCCCCAAATAGAGAACCTAGAGGTGCTGGGGGGTGCAGAGCGCTGGGTCTAGAGGCGGAAAGACCTAAGTTCAAATCTATCCTCAGTTCCTTCCCAGCTGAGGGACGATGGGCAAGTACTTCTCCTCTGCCTCAGTTTCGTCATCTGTGCAATGGGCATAGTGATAGCACCTCCCTCCTCCCAGGGTTGTGGTGAGGCTCCCAAGACGCCACATTTGTAAAGCGCTTCGCAAGAGTCCTGTCACTGTCGGGCTCTCAAGAGAAGAGAGACTGGGAAATGTGACCAGGCCTTCTCCTCCATTATCAAGTGGAATTGTGCAGAGCTCAAATGGTGGAGCTCAGACGTTGGCCCCTTTAAGGCCCCATCCCCCTTGCGGTTGTCTCAGACCCGCCTCACAGTCGCCTCCTCCAGGAAGCCCTCTCCCTTCTCCAGTTTCCCAGAGCCCCTCAGAGGGACGTCTCCTCTGCAGCAACCTCCGTCCCCCCTTGTCTGTTCCTGTCTTTCCCCCCAGCTCATCCCCATCCCCATTAGAGGAGAGGCATGCCGAGCGCAGACACAGCCGGTGTCCTCTGCAGGAGCAGCCCCAGCGCAGGCTTCCGGCGCGGTGGCTGCTCCCAGCTTCACACTCTCCCAAGGGTGGCTCAGTGGTTTGACCCCCTGCCCCAGGGGCGCAGTGAGCTTGTCACCTGGCCGGCTCGGGCCAATTGCACAAGGCTCCCTCCCCAGGGCAGCGCGGCCTCTTTGGGGGGCAGGGGGAATGTGCGCGACTGCTCCCCAGGGGCGCGAGGTAAGTGGTGGCGCGGGGCTTCCCCGCTGGCCACAGGGCGCACACATCACTCACCTGGCCAGGTTCCGGTGGGATTTCTGCTGACACTTAAGGGCCGCGTGAACCAGCACCTGATTGAAGACGTCCCTCTGAAAGAGAGGCTTTCACAATCAGTGAATGGAGCAACCTGGAGAGGAGGGCTCCCCTCAGCCGCTCACTGCAGGCCTCAGTGGGCCCCGGACACGGGTGTCCCCAGGCTGGACCCACTTGGAGGCCCTGCGGCCCAAACCAGGAGCGAGCCAGGCGGCTGGATGCCGGCTCTCCTGCTGGGAGAGTCCCCAGTGAGGAGCTCCCTCCACCAAAGCCCATCTGCCCCCGCTGCTTGGGGCACTGAGAGGAGGGTCAGGGATGTGTGGAGCCCACCCAGCCAGGAGGCCTCAGGGGCAGCCCTTGAACCCAGACCTCTTTGGTTCTCAGAGTCATGCACGTGGAGACTTAAAATGTTCCATGACCCCAGGTGGGGGTGGGAAGGAGGCTCTCCCACAGCTGTGACAACTTGTCATATTTCTAGCATTTTGCAATTTTCAAAGCTCTCCTCACAACCCCCCAGCAAGGCACTCTGTACAGTGATATCGAGTCCATTTTACAGAAGAGAAAACAGAGTCTGGAAATGGCTAGACCAGGCCCAAGGTCTCATAGCTAGTAGTGAGGGGAGGGCCAGGAGCTGCACCCAGGCCTTCTGGCCCCCCGCCAGAGCCCTCTCCTCCATATCAGACGTCCTCTCCGGGACGCTTCTGATGATGGGGAGCTCACTGCCTCCCTAGGTGACTCATTCCTTCTTGTTCCTAGGTTCTTCCCTGAACGGGCACCACCTGCCCCCTGGAACCGCCCTGGCCTGGCCGCTCAGGCCCGTTCTCTGAGGCCACAAAGAAGAAGCAGAATCCCCTCCTGCATTGGACATCTATCAAACAGCGCTGCCTGGTCCTGCCCCTCAGGCGGCAGACCCTGCCAGCTCACCTGGGCGTTGCTACCGCCTATTCCCACGAGCTTGTACCGAATGGGCAGCAGCAGCTCCACGGCCCTGTCTGGGTCCCCGTTCTCCACTTCCACCAGGGCCTGGCACAGGGGCAGCCCCACCTGCCGAGCCAGCTGGTGCTGATGGTTCTCACCAGGGTGTCTGCAAGGAGAGGAAGCCAATGCCAGCTGGGTGAGAGATGGACAGAGAGACAGAGACAGAGCGAGACAGAGACAGGGACAGAGAGAGAGAGACAGAGAGACAGAGACATGGACTGAGAATGAGAGAG